ATCGCAGGGGGTTAAGTAAGTTAAACCGTGCAACTGCGATCTTCAGACCATGAAAAAAAGAAGTCCGTAAAGGCCAGAGTAGTAGGAAGAATGTATTGTGTACACAAGGAGAGGAGTATAGATGAGAGCAGATTGACTCGGGAGAGCCCGTACGCTCAGGAGGTCGACTTGATCCTAAGTGAGGTCTAAAAGTAGTCGAGCCAGAAGACAGAGAGAGGGAGAGCTTTCATTGGCTAGGTCGACCTGGAGATTTTGGGCAGAGAGGCAGCTTGCATCGGGAACGCGTGCAAGCATGCCATTCGTCGCCTGCCCAATGCGGGGACTGTGATTGGCTGATTGAGACCTCGAGAAATCGCATCGGTAAGCCTTTGAGAAAGTGCACTTTGACCCGAGCTAGTTGGGCAGGCACGACCCGCTACACAACCACTACTTAGATCGCTACGGGAAATGTATTACCTTAGATAAGATCATAATTCTAAGAATAAATCTTAATACTTTAGTGTCTTCTTGGTTTATTTGCCCGATAATCTGTTCAAATAGTCACTTGTGGACAAATGGTGAATGCAGAAAGGGTCTCACTCTGGTACTGTTCAGATTTTCATCACGTCCGCTGCAATTGGGATCAAATCTGCGTCTGTTATCTAAGGATTATTTGATAACTACTTAACGCGTGTCACCAGAACAATTAGTTTATTGTCCTGAGCTTTCACACTCTTAATTAATTTTTTACTGCAACGGAACACTACCTGCTCAGTCATTTTTCTTGAGACAAATGATGTTACTTCATGAATTAGAGGCTGTCGAAGTTTAGATTCTTTTCACTGCTATTCGACTTATTGGATGTCCTTAATCTCTCATGAATGTTAAGTCATATATTTAATCAAGAAACGTCGGTATATTCGGGAGGATTGCTTTTTATGTCATTTTATTCGTTCGGTTTCGGATCGTCGTTTATTTTATTGTTCACTTGAGATCTCCTGCGGTTATTTTTGCAACAGTCTGTTGAGACGGATAGGACCAGGCATTCCACATGGCCGACCATCGTCTGGAAGTTATTGTGGACTTATCTTTCCAGTTAGTTTTCGAATTTTTACTCCATCGGGACATGCATAATTGTGTCTTAGAACCTAAAACTGCCTTTCTAGGGTTAGAATTGTCTCCGGGTCCTTAACTAACTCGTCATATAATATTTGATTATTATCACTTGTTTATTGATTAGATGGCCCATCACTATTGAATTTCTTTTTCATTTTCTCTGTAGGTGCTCGGAATAATCTTCCACGGTGTTCAATTGCCGTGCTGGTTGGTGGAGACTATAAGTCCCTGCTGGAGGTGCAAGCTCGAGTGGATGCTGGTATGCCTTGTGTTGTTTGCATAGGTACTGGAATGGCCGCGGACATTCTCTATATTGCCCGACAACTCAGTGAAAAGGACTCAGCCGAGTAAGAAAAATGACTCGTACTCAGTGTCGCTCCTAAGTTTTTAACCAAGGAATTAAGTAGAGAGAATGTAAAATAACCTAGTCTCACATCCAAGAGTTTTTCTTTCAATGTCATCTGCATATATGTGCAGTACTGGTAGTGAAAACTCGATTCGCACGTGGTAAGTCAAAAGGAGGAGGGGCGTTCAGCGGGAGAGGTTTATTTTATATCTGCCATTTCGGATAGTTGTTTCATCTGTACATCTTCAGAGAGTGAATATTCTGGCCCCTGGCTCTCGCTGTCTGCCGCTCCTTTCTTCCGCGTGCGTATTCTACCAATCCAGTTTGAGCCGCTCTGCGTGGCTCGCGTCTGTAGGTGG